AAATATATTACCTTTATTTATAGCAATCTAACCGATGCTCAATTTATTCGAAATTATCAAATCAAAACTTGGTAATGATACATATAAGATTTATAAAAGTTCAGTTTCACACGCTTCGATACAATTTTACACTTAAGGTTGATAATTTCATTTAATCATTTCATAGTATGCTCAGGGAGTCTTCTTTTAAAAAATTTAAAGTGATTAGTTCCTATGACATATCTTGATTGTGTAATAAGAAGACGAAGATTATCAGGACTGCATGATATATTAGTGAAATACATTTCGAACAATGATCACACATATACTTGTTAGGAACATTTATATATAAAAATAAAAGGTCATGAATCCATTAATTTATGACAATTAAGGAAAACCTGTATGTACTGAACGGCCTATGTTAAGTCCGAACGGCCGTTCAATGTCAAAACAAAATGGTCAATTTTCAATGTTTAAAGTCCTATGTTCTAACTTCTTTTTATTTGCTGTAGTTTCAGTAATTGATTAATATCATAATTTCGTAACAGTTGTTGTTTCAAGTCTGTAACAAGTCCTTTATAAGGCTAAATCCTTTCGCTATGGTCACGAGTTATAGTATTTAATTGGGATTGATGATTTCATGTATGGTCCTTTCAAAATTCATTTTAAAATACTATATATTATGAAGAATTAGTAAATTCATAAAAACATAGAATACGCTGTATACATACATTAACAATAGAGTAAGATTTCTTTTTGGTAACATGTTATTCCATGTTTAGAACTTTTGAAGTTATTTTTCTGTGAGAATAGTTTTTGGCATACACATGTTTCTGTTTTTTTAAACTTATACCAAAAACAATAAATACTTAACTCATAACGTAAGTGTACGACACCCATTTTTATTGATAACCACTACTCTAAAATTATCCATCTTAACATAGTTTAAATGTGTAAATAACTTAGTTTTGCCAAAACAATCTAAATATGCACAAGCATAAATTACTTATCATCTGTAAATGGAAAATTAATTAAACGTTAAGTGAAACTAATGAATTAAATAGTGTTTCATTAAATTTTCTGATAGAAAATATTTCAATGACTATATATATACGTCAGATGGAAGCAAGGGTATAAAATAGATTTAAGATTTTACTAAAATGGTACCTGGATATAATACTGATTTATTGAAAATGAAATTGTTTCAAAAACACAACAGATTCAGTTGTTTACGTTGTGTTTCCCCATATATATATATATATATATATATATATATATATATATATATATATATATATATATATATATATATATATATATATATATATATATAGTATATTTGATAGTATTTAAATACCTTAAGTGATTTCATTATCTTTCAAAAGCTATAGGGAACTAATTTGTGTAATAAAGTAACCCAAACTTTATTATATTGGTATATTTGATAAAACTCATTTCAAGGTAAACGAATTTAAATATCATGGCAACATATATAAACTTTTGATCATACTTTACAATCTAATAATTAAGTTTTTCTAATGAAAATATGCTTGACTTGATTAGAAAATTAATCAACCTTTACTTTTCATTTATACACAGAGAGTGAGGATAAATTCATATATATTTCTATTTGAACGAGTTTATAGTCCTATTTATTGGATTACAAAAACAGATGACTTTAATGGATAAATTTGTTTTTAACAACAGAAATTTTTTAAAAGAGAAAAATTCTCATTTGTTTCATTGATCCATTTCAAACTCTTATTCTATCACCTAAAAATGTCTTTTAGATGTAATTCTATGTCACAAATTGTCGCTAATTAGGGAATGTATAAAATTCAGAGTGAATTAAGATGTTAGTTATACTTAATTTAAGAATCATTAAGGATAAACATACAAAACCTTATATCAAAATGCGTTCAAGATCTTTAAAGCCGGCAGATAAAACGATACATTGATTCAATAATTATAATTTAAGTAATTATATGTAAATATTATATTTGAAATAATCTCGGCGTTTGAAATCTAAACAATTCCACCGTTTCGTTCAGCTAACATTTCTGAACTTCTTCTGTGTAATAATCAAAATCCAATACTCGGCGCCCAATTTCTGTCAAACTATTCGTTCTAATCTTGATGAATATTCGTATCAATTATAATTTAACTTTCTCCATTTAGGGAAGTATTTTATCGCCAAAAATTTTTCAGATATTCAATTTTTTAACCATTTGAGATTTTTCAAGTGACAACGTAGTGATTTCTTGAAATAAATATGTTAACACTAATAGAAATTTAAATACCTACAAAATTTCACTTGTCAAAGTCACAACCCACTTGACGTTATATCAGCTCTAAGACTAAAATGGATCAATTTGACACTTGAAACAATCTAATATTAATATAGAATAAATCATTGTTATAATCACTTCTTTGTGAACTACATACATGAAAATGTTATGATACATATAAACACTTCAGTGTAGCATGATCGATATGTTTGTCCTATTAATTGTATTCAAATTAAACCTTGTGTTTTACCAAATCAAACTTAACTATACACGCGCCTTAGAGTAATCACTATTTTATTCAACGGAAAAGGATCGACTATCATCTTAAGTTAGCTAAAAAAAATATGTAAGGGAAATAGGTCATACAGAGTATATTTCTAAATTTGAAATAATTTCAGGCCACCTATAGTGTAAATAAATCAATTGTTTTAACATTAATCTATGAATTGGATCTAAACACAGAGAATGTTATTGAAAGTGTTAGTACATAGTTTGATTTAATTGACCTTATTTTATTTTCAACTGAACAATTTCTTTATTTTTTTAAACTTATGAAAATAATAACTAACTGATTTTAGATAACTACATAATGATCACTCTTTATTAAACAATATATCAAATAGTAGTTTTGTTTGTATTTTATATCACGAATTACTAAATAAATGACAGTCAGTAGTAAATAGAAATTTATTCAAAACTATAGTTTGTCCCTTAGATACTTCATAAAAATAATTAAAAAAAAACAAAGCTAAAAGACTTTAGGGTACTTTAAGCAACACTAGGAAGTATACAATGTAACAGTATGTGGTATACTTTCACTCCTGTACTAATTCTTACAAAAAATTATCCCATTTTTTTATAATTCGACCAGTTTTCAAGTCGTAACATTTTCAGTTATCGGTTTAACCTTTGATACATGAACAACTTATAATTTTTTGTGTGGTCAATCTGCATTAAAATAAAACAATAATAAATTATTTTTTATTTTTTTAACCGAATAGGTAATCAGTAATTTAAAAAACAGGTTGCATATTAAAAGTAATAAATACTATATTAACCGTTCGCGCGCGAGACCAAAGTCCCTGGTATCGAATCCCACTAGCGGGATCATGGATGCGCACTACTGAGGAGTTACAAAATATAATGAAACTGCCATCGAGTGCTTCCAGATTTTCACTGGTGGTCTAAAATCAATCGGTTCATGGTCTCAATCAAAAATCAATTGGATTATTCTTGCAACAAAAACGGTTATCACAGATATTTTTTCTTAATATTCTATTTTATGAAAACTGTTACCCCGTCAATACGACATAAATGTCAGAAAACAAGTAAAAATGGATATTTTAAACAAAATAATTTTATTTGAATATAAAACAGTGTTATTCCTGTTATTATACAGTCAAAGTATTATTATTCAGTAAGGAGGTTCAACGAAAATATCGCGTAATTTCTATGTACTTTTCAGAAATAATTAACGTGTTATAGCTTTACTACAAGACTATGAACCCAATATGATATTGGTCAATAAAAATAATCATGTTTGAAGAGCGATTTTATACTACTGTAACTCATTAATCATCTTCAGTGGAGATTCTTATAAATAATCGAGAAAAACTAACTATGTACCGAATGATTACCTTAAATTTATCATGTCCTTTGTCAGAATTCTAATTGCTATACTCGATAATTTGTGGCATCATGGATGTATAAAAGTGCGAGACTAGAAAAAATAATAAAACAGATTTCTAATAGTTTTTAGTTGTCAATTGTTCTTAACTAATTTGAATTTAGTGTAAACTTAGCTGTAAATAACTATGGATTTCTGAAATAAGTAAATGTTCGAGAAAATGTTGATTGTTTTCGGAAAGAGTTTATTCTTTCGTAGTGGTTTAATAGTAAAAAAATGTAGATTATGAATTCGGAATTGGTACCAGATAAATAAAGGGTATTTTTCTCTCTGCTATTTGCATTGAACACAAGATTATTCCCTATGTTTGAAAACAAAAGACATCTAATTTTACAGAAATATGCTAAACGATTTTATAATTCATATAAACAACTCCAAGACAGATCAACATTTCATCCGTTCTTGAAAAGTGTCTGTTTCAAAGATTAATTTATATATACAACAAATAAATGGAAAAGTAAGCGAGGAACAATCCTAATTCAACAGCACTAATCATTTCTCAGCAAATTAACTATGATAACCTGACTTTTAATTCCAAAATACTGATCACATACTATCTCCAGGATAAAATAATTAAAATCGTCATAGAAGCTTATATCTATTATTATTGTTTTTCGATAAAACAATAGAGGGAATAATTTAGCCACTTGTTTTCACAGCATAATTGGATATATATATATATATATATATATATATATATATATATATATGTAACTATTAAACTCGCCTGTAAGCAAATGTAATTGTCAAATACGTAGTAAAAAAACAATTATAAGCAGCAAGTAACAGGCAATATATATATATATATATATATATATATATATATATATATATATTCACATAAATTCATTCATTTTCAAACACAAATTAGAATGAATGTTAAAGCTTGTTTCAAAAGTGATATATTAACTTTATAAATATTGTAGACAAATAATATGAATGAAGACCAATGTACTTGGTTTCGTTTCAAATAGTTAGGATCTTGATAAATCAACATTAGCTAAGTTCAATAGAAAGAGTTCAACGCTTTTTTTTTCTAAAGCTTTCTAGTTTGGTGAAGCTTGTGAATAATTCACTGCATGATTATCTACAACATTAATAGATGTATTAACAAATCGGGTATTCATTGTATTTACTGATTGACAACATTTCAATGGGTGATTTTTACATAAACGATTTAAATCGGACAAAAATACACTTGATGTACAAGAATAAATAAAAAAATGTGTCATATGATTAATCATTTGTAATATTACTGTTACTCTTTCAATTGTATCACAGACATTTATCCAATCTTTATTATCAATACAAAATTTCGATTCAAATAAATAAAAGAATACTACTGGCATTGTTAATAAAAAATGACTTATAGTCATACAAACTACTGTTCGTAATACACGTGCAGAGCGTTGTTCACGAGCTGATGATGATTTATCTTTATGTAATGTACGCGATTTTAAAGATGTTTGTTCTGAACTATCACTTATAAGTGCTACTCTTGGTATTATTGAATTTTGTGTATTTTTTGTTGATACATTTGTAGTTTTCATCCTCCATATAATACTTATATTTACTAGTAGTATGAAAGCTAATGGAATAAATGAATAAATTGCAAAATCAATATACGGCCAATATAAATGAAACGCTTTATATTCTTGTTTCGGTGCACATGAATTATCTTTCACAAATACAGTCCATACATAATGAATATTCACACCGGCCAAACATAATACAACAAAAATTAGAGCTGTTATTCCATGTTCTAATTTACACCATTGTTTAAATTTGATTGGAGTCCAAACACATACAGCTCTTTCAATACATAATAAAATAATTATCCATGTTGATAAATCTGTCGAAAAAGTGAATAAAAATAATGGTATACCACAGCCGAATTTGATACGTATATCCACCTTTTCATTAGTTATACCAATTATCCATTGTCTTAAGCAACCATGTGCTATAACATATGTATCAGTCATACACATAATACCAATTAATAAACTTGTTGAACCAACTGTTGTAGATAAACGTCTTAACCAAATAACCATTGATAATAAATTACCGGGTATTCCAATAATTAAAATAATTATTGGTGCAACACTATATAATGTACCTAATGAATGATGTACTTTTGGATGGAATTCTGTAAAATTACTGTCAATCGATAATATCATGATGATATGTTATTGTTATTATTATTAATGATTACGTTGGTATTTTTATATTTTGTCTTGGCAAAGACATTATCAATTGAAATGTAAAATGAATTTAAATAATGAAAAAAAATTTTCAAGTAGTGTTGTATTTAAATACTTTTTTTTAAAATTTAGCTGAATGTTTATAATGGAAAAACCTTTCCGATTTAATATTATATCCAAAAATATTGACCAATGAGAAATAAATATTATCAGCCAATGGAATTATAAGTATTCTTGACAGATAATTTACCTAATTGTACAAACTATCGAGTTTTTTTCTTTTTCCTCTTCGAAAAATTAGTTAATTTTCCATTAAACTGAAAGGTTTTTTCGTGATAGGCCATTATCAGATTAGAACCAAGAACTTCATTGCTAGTCATTGTCTGAATTGCTTTATTATTTTCGAAACAAATAATTTCAGATCTGAAAGTGAATTCCAAATTACAATAACATCCGCTAAACTCCTTCTGATACTAATCAACAGATGCTGACTAGTGGCTGGCTTGAAGAGGTATTTCCTGGGGTTCTAGTGAGAAGCAGTGACCAATGGAGTTCAAACAGATCCGTTGCGAGATAGTAACTCACTGAATACAATGGTGGATATGTCGTTCAATTTTGTGGATTATTTGAAGTTAGACATCAACACTGTTTTAAGCCGGCTCAGTGGTCTAGTCGTTAAACGCTCGCGTGCGAGACTGATAAATCATGGGTTTGAATCTCGTAGGTGGGGGGGGGGCGGGATCGTGATGCGCACTAACGAGGCGTCCCGTACTGGGACAAAACGGCCACCCAGTGCTTCCAGGTTTTCCACGGTGGTCTAGCTTCAATTGACTCATGATCTCAACTATTAAAACTATTATAATATCCACAAGACCATTTCGGATATTAATTCCAAATTATTCGATTTCTGAAAGAAAAAGTTAATTATTTCGGCTTATTAATTTACTATTGGTAGAAATCTGATCACTGTGCTAGCACTGTCATAATCAATTACATTAGTAGTCTATATGCAATAAAACGTTTGTGAATTCTGTTGATGATCAACAGGAAATAAAATTAGGAATCTATATTCAATAAAAATAATTTAAAATGTTCCTGATACTTGTTATTATTGTCAACTGATTAAACTATGATTTGATAAAATCCCTCTTTTCACTTCAATCTAAATATTAGAAGATAATCTGTGATGCATAAATGGTTTCAATGTACACTTTCTCAAAATAATCTGGTTGAATTTGCATGAAACCGACTAACTAACGACATGAAATAAAAATTTCGACAATTTTTAAGTAAGAAAGTCAATGTACACCTCTCAAATAAATATAGATTTACGATATTTTTCCATATGGATATAACCTTTAGTTTAAGTTAGTTCTGTATGATTGCTGAAGAAAGTACGTTTGTTAAATTTAGCAATTTTTTTCAGGAAATTTTAAGGTTGATAAATACAGGAAACTAAAGTATGTTTTGAGTAGTTTATGCTCAAAAACATACTTTTGGAAATATTTTTCACGTTCATGATTCAATTATTGATACATATTTAAGCTCATCATACAAGTACACACTATTTAGGAGTTTACGAATGATAGTGAGAAGAACATCTATATCAGAGTTACCAAATTTAACTATTATTTCCAGTACTATTATACTGAATTTTAGATTTTTATTCACTATATGACTTTTTATACCTTCTAGAATAAATGATATTTAGCCAGTCTTTAACTAACCTACTTAAGGTCTCTGTATGTTTGACGATTGTTGGTGATTATTGGAGTTTCGGCTTAAATAATCTAATTTCAGTACCAACTTTCTATGATCGAATGCCTTTTATTCTACTGGTTAGCATTAATTTTATGTCCTTATGGATTATCTTCATTAATAATAGATATCAACACCGATATATGAGAAACAGTAAATATTTGAAACTAAAGATGATGGTATAATTATTTACATATTACATAATGGTTATGATTTTAAAGTGAAGTGAAGGAGCAAAAAGAATAACTTGTTATCATTAACATTCTAATAACTATTAAAAATAAACACTAAATATTTTATGAAATCGTACAAACAGTATATGAACAATGAAAAGTCTTACAAGGAGTGAGCTATATACGTTTCAATATATTAATCGACAAATGACCACTGATAATATTGTTTACCTTATTTGAAAATGATTATGTAATACATGAGATTAAAAACGTGACGAATAATAAGTACAATTTTTTTTCTATCAGTAAATACCTATTCAGTTTAATAATAATGAGAACGTGACAACTTTACAGTCATATTTGTATTTATTTATGATCCAATACAGTACAGTTTCACTTTTATAATATATAGTTTAATGCAAAAATTTAACTTCATTATAAAAAAAGAGATATAAATGATAATCGTATTCAGCATTCTTTAAAAGCCAACTAGATAGTAATTTAATACATTTAAACACTTTTCTTTACTGAGTCCGTTAAACTTCATTTGAACCTACTTAACAATCGAGCAAAAATATATTATGAATAATATAAGTTAACGTTTCTACATCAACCATAATGTTTCATTATTTTTTAGAGATGGAATAATTCTGTAATCCACTTATGTTGAAAATAGCGTTGATGTTAATCAGGTTGAAAATATCAATACGCTTTTTAATAACTTAAAACAAAGAACCTAAAAGATGTTAGGGAATCATACATAAACGAAAAAGATTTATTGAATCTTCATTTGAGTTAGTATGATCCAAAGTCTGATATCAATTCTTTTCTCTGAAGCGAGTCTCTCGTATTGAAAGCTGATATATTTGAAAATAAACTAAGATATACATATCACAGAGCTTTTCTAAGATACTAAAAATTGATTAGTTATAATATATTATATTTTAAAATTCATAGACTGTAATTGTCATTATTTGCACTGTGAAGAGACTAGTTGAAAACTATTATTATTCTTAACATATTATTAGGACTATCCTCATCTGTGAGGATAAAAAAAACAGGTTTTATAGTTTGTATATCATGTCAGTACACTGTAACTTGTTAGCTATGGCATAGAAACAAGGTGCCTACTTATTCTTCATTTATTTGTGATTGTAAAACTCCAAAAATCACAACTAAGCTGATTCCCGTTATAGAAAAGTTCTTGTATGATGCACAACTGGCTAAACTAAACCTGTTTCGATTATCATATGAACGAAACAGAGGTGACTGGATCATAGTTTCTAAGTTACTTAGTGATAAATTTGCATTTGATATGCCCTCACTTTGGACGAGAACATTATAAAAATGTACACAATCTCAGAACAACTTACTTGTCAGCTGACTATCAACGAATCATCAAAGAGTGGAATTCATTACCTCATAATGTAATGAAAGTTCCATCTATCAATGTTTTCAAAAGAAAATTGAATCTAATAAGAGACTACCATTGACAGGACTAACATAAAGTCATCTAACCTCTTGTCCTTTTCAAACTAAAACTGAATTATTTAAAGTAAAAAAATATTACCACAATCTATTTACATATAAATTATTAACTCAACACTAATTCTACTAATCTACACTTGACTATTTTAATAGAATTATTTAATTGTTATTTATTCGAATCAATTCAATGAAATTGAAATACATTGATATCTTCAAACAATTGACTTATTCATTGAAGTAAATCAAAAAAATAAATAAATAAACAAACAAATCATTCTTCTACATACCATGATCATTCATTCAACTTATTTACTATCTAGCAAAAAAAAAAGAATTTCTTGTCAATAAAATGAACGGAATTATTTATTTTTTTCTTTCTTTTAATTACAACTTCATTTAACTTTATTGATTGTTTTCTGTTCTTTTTTCTTTTTTTCCATCTTTTTTTAAAAAAAGTTTATCTACAATGTTATTTCATTTTATTTATTTTTCTCTACATTTTTTATTAAAAAAAAACAATTAACCAATTAAAAAATTGTTTTGTCAAAATAAGAAACTATTCATGTATATTTATTATATCAGCATATACAATGAGAATTGAGTATCAATATGGATAATGAACGAACTTGTTAAAGAACTAGTTATTTGTTGAAGGATAATTATTTTTCTTTTTTCTTTTTCTTTCTCTTTTTCTCTTTTTTTCTTCTTCTTCCCTGCTGTGATGTTTAAATGTATTCATATCTTAGATTAACAATATATATCATCTTTTGTATGAAATAAACTTTTGAACATATAATATATTATTTCAAATGAGAAGTGAATGAAATAATAACACAACAAAAAAACAACAGGTTGTTAATTTGAAAAACAAATTTTTCTCTTCTTTATTTTTCTGTAAACTATTAATGATGTTTTCATTTCTTCAATTCATTGTCAGTTTGTTATAATCAGTTTAGGGGTTGTGGAGATTGTTAAGTTTTTAATTGAGATCATGAACTGATTGATGTTAGACCACCATTAAAAACCTGGAGGCACTAGACGGCCGCTTCGTCCTATTGTGCTTCCAGGTTTTGAATGGTGGTTTAGCATCGATCGGTTCGTGATCTCAATCAAAAACTCAACAATCGCTACAACCCCGAAACTGATAATTACCATGTGCTCATTAGTGACTAGCTTCAAGAGAAAATTCTCGGAGTTCTGGTGAGATTTTCATTGAAATCACGAACAGATCGATTTTAGTGAATTATCTAAGGAATCTGGTTATCAAACAGAATATATAACCAAAGTTAACAAAAAAGCAAAATGCACATAGTCTATCGTTTGTTTTAGTCAACTCCCTAATTGTTATGGGATGAAAAAAACTATAGGTACTGTTTTGCTTCCCTATTGCACATTGGTGAAAAATGAATTATAATATAGTCGATAAGAACTGTTTACTCAAAACCTTTCATCATATTGTTATGGAAACATGTGGACAATTTGATAAAACTGATAACCAAATATATTAAGTTAGAATGAACGTGTGTATAACATATTGACCAGTTTTCCTCTAACTAT